TGCCCTGTTGATTTAATATGTGGTGCCTCAAAAGTAATGATTACAGGCAGAGAAAATCAGTTTAACTGGTAAATAATGTTATGTTACAGTAGGTTTTTTGAACTGCTTATAGACCACAGGTTCTTGACACACACATTTGGGTACAGATGTCCAGCTGTGGTTTAACCACCCCCAATTCATAATATTTCATAAGAAAATCACAACCCACTTATACATATTTTCCAGCTAGCATGACATCTTTAGATGTTAACCACATGGGATCATTCATATTATTAGGTAAATAGATCAGTTTTTACAGACATCTTAACAGAAGATGAATGTTTATGACCCATTGACATATACATTTCTACCTACTGTTATATTGATATTATAATTTACCTCTGTTAAATTGCACCCATTGATATATATTTGACATTCCAAAAAAAGTTACCCATATACCAGTGGCAAATGAAGAAGATATAAAAGTGGCCAAAATGTCAACAATGAACTTGGTGGTTCAACAATATTGCATGGCTAGAAAAATAAATGTGTCTTTGCGATGGATTTATAAAAGCAGTCAAATTTTAAAATGATTTTAATAAAACAGTTTTTAAAGTATTAAATCAATGGTACATTCTCAAGAGAACCAATTTTTGTCTTGCCTGTGATGAAAGTCACGGAAAGCAAGACATAGGGATTGCTGTTCCGTCACCGTTGACTGATTCATAGACCGCGTCATCAATTGTTAAGTTTTCTGCTTAAGTTAGTTTGATAGGAACTACTTGTGATAGATCATTGATATTTAATATAAAGTTGCATTACTATCAGTACATATCAGTTTGACGACTATTTTGAGACCCTGTGCCCTACATTGTAGGTCATGGTCCAGTGACTTTGAATCAATAAGCAATCTTGCTGTCCATCAGATTGTCTTTTTCTGAATTTAATGCCAACAGGCGAGACATATCTCCGTGTCAACAGTTTATTCTCATTTAGTGACATACATGTAGTTAGGCCATTTAAAAATATGTTGAACATAGACGAACATGTGAAGTTACTAAATAAATGTATGCACCCTTGGATATTATACATGGATGAGACTGGAAATAATATTACAAAATTATAATAAAACATTTTGTGATGTGCAATACATAAAAAAAAATTAATATCTCTCCAATGAAAACACTGGGAATAAAACAATTCCCCCGACCTCTGTGCTTAACCTGGGATCGATCCTCAGATGCTGCTCTCATTTATTTTTACCCACAGAATAATTAAACCCTTTCTTAACATGCATAAATAAAATAGCCCTGAACGTTGAGAAGAGAAAACTGATATGAACACCAGGGTTAAATTTATTTTTATTTCGTGTATATATTGTCTCATCTTCGCTAGCCAAGGGTTACAATCCACTTCCCTCCTCTCCACCCTTGGCGGATTGAGATAGAATTTCGGTGACACAAGGTAATGATTTTCATTGGTTGCAGTCAAAACTCACTGCATCCAATCAGAAAGCGCCTATATCATGATCACGTGTAAATGTAGAAAGTGTATGTAAACAATTGCCACGTGCTTATTGTGCAACAAGTCTTTACATCCCTAAACATACGACTATATTTAATGACAATTTGAATGTTTTTAATCAACTAATAGAAGTTCCTGTGTATGTTTCTTGCACAAATGCATTAATGTCAACATATATTTTCGTTTCCTGCTTTACCAACAGAGCTCCAGATAAGCTGCGTATTTGCGTGATCACGCAATAAAAATAGTTAAAAACCCAATGCAATTGCCCATTGCAGAGTTCAATAACCCAATTAATTCAAAGGAAAACCCAATTATATGCCAAAAACATGGGTTCTTAACGCTTTTATTCGCTATAGTTTGCGTTATTTACCCTTACTTGATTACAGTCGTCGCGTAAATCTATTTTTATAATATTTATAATTGGAAATGTCCTTTCGTTCTAAAAATAGAACCCTGCATCAAGTAGCTGTAATGGGTCCCTGTTGGAATTTTCCGTTGCTCAAAAGGTAGTACACGTGTTTATGAAAACATTTCGATCTTCTCGGCGTTTATCCAATTAGCGTGTTACATGCTGTCATATTTTTTCGAATTGCTCGGGATTTATCATAACATACAATGAATTAAAACGAAAGTAAATGTCCGGTGAAAATATTGAATAGAAGCATGTTTTCGGCTTCTTTTTGATAGCTGAGGGAAAGTTATGATGATAACAAGACTCAGCTAGTGATTTTAGGAAGCGGCCATTGAACGCACGGGCGTGTTTGCGTACCATAACGAGAACATTGCTAGAGCGATAAACACGGGGTTCCGTCAAAAACGAAATCAGTTGGAAAAAGTGAAAGGCCAAATCAATTATGACATGATATTAGTTTGAAAGCATCGGAAACCAAAAGTTCTGATAAGGGACAATTTAACCCAGATTTATGTAAATTGAATTAAACGAAAACAGTTTATATATTATTTATCTCATTTTAGTTGATGAGTGAATACACATATCCGTTTTTTACGTCAATGCAGCTTGACACTTTCTTTGTTTTAGTCTAATTGTTCTAGATGCTTAAGATAGTTGTCTTATTTGCAAGTGCAGTATAACATTGTCATTTATTTACTTGATGTTGCAGAATTATTTGTAAATTTAAGTTGAATGTGGTCTCCGTCATTATTAACCACCCTATAAACATCAAGGTTTTGGGGTATATCTTAAATCTGGAAACTACTTTTTATTTTTATTAAAAAGTAGATCTGGCAAATAGGTGAAAGGACTGGCAAAACTTTCTTACAGCACCTAAATTTCACATATATTACAAAAAAATCTAAACACTTAGCCACACCTACCCCAACTATAATTAAACTGTAGGGTGATCATATGGGATCTAGAAAGGCAATTAGTTCCTGTCCAACTAGTGACACCAGCTGCAGTTTACATAAGTTTTGAGAAAATACAAAACTGACAGAACGTTTAAAACGGGACACAAATTAAATGTACAATTGCTCGTCAGTGGATAAACCAAATAAAACAGCTAGCACATATTCTACAAAGAAAGAAACACATTTAAGATGGAAACACATCTGGGGTTGATATAATGTGATTATAACATGCCTAAATATTCAATATTGTGTTGATGAAAAAACCCAATACATTAAGGAGCTTGGTGGTGAAAAACCCAATTTGATATTTGCTTGAGGGGTGAATTGGAATTGATAATGCAATTAAAATACTTTATCACCCAATTACATAAAAAAATGGTGGGTAAAAACCCCAATTTGTGAATTCTTATCTGGAGCTCTGACCAAGTGTGTAGAATCTAGACGCTACCGTGTTTTTACCTCCAAATTGAAGAATTCAAGTGCTACCATTTGTCAAGAATAATGTATTAGGAATGGGCGTGACTTTAATCTACCGATAGATGGCGCAACATTGTTATCACAAATGTTGGCTTAATCTGCCAAGGGTGGAGAGGAGGGAAGTGGATCGTAACCCTTGGCTAGCAAAGATGATATTGTCTTATCTTCTTTTTATTGTTCAAAGTTTTAAAAATCATTGATATTAAGGAGATCTCATATTTTATATGTCTTGGGATAGTTTTCCTTAAAAAGATACGGCTTCAACAATAAAATCATACTCTGATTGGCCAATATTTTTAAGATGTCAATAGTACGAAATTTGAAAATACTTATAAGTTTGTCGATATTGTCGGGGCTGGTTGATATGACTATTTAGATTTTTGTTACTTATTTCAGTATTTTTCACCTTTTTTCAGTCTTGCCTTGACAGAGTAAAAAAGTGAGACTTAGGTATGCTGTTTTTGTCAGCGACGGCATCAACAATGTTTGAGTTGTGATTAGGTCAGTTTATGGGGAACCATTTATAGTGGTAGGTCAATGATATTTGGTATGCAGTTGTATTAGCATTTGCACATCTCATTTCCATGAAGACTATTTGGACTCCCCCCAACCCCCAACCCCCACCCCCACCCCCACCCCACCTGTATGTTATTAGGTCTCTGGTGGAAAGTTGTCAGTAGTATTCATACTACATATTTTATTTTTATATTGGCTTTAACATCAAAAACTTTTCTTGTTTAAAATTCTATTCAATTTTAAATCTTTTCACCAGACTACATCAATTGAAAATAACTCTTTATACTGCCTTAAACCAAAAATGTAACCTTACTTATATCCAGGTAGAAATAAGTATTGTAAATATATGCCAAGTGAGCAATCATGATTATTTAAGGATGTAGTTAGGTGAGGTTTAGGAATTTTGGTCAGATGTTCAGTCTCCTTGGGTTTTTCCTATGAAAGATGATATAGGGTAAACTATTTTGCTCCATAACACCATCTTTTCTTTTCATATAAGACTTCAATAGCTCATAAACAGTCATTTACTAAAATTTAAGCAGATTCTGGATTTCTTTTCTTACGATTTGAGACTAAAATAATGCCAATCTAAATAAAAGGTATAAGTCAGAGCATAGGCAGATCCAAGGGGGGGGGGGGGGGGGGGGGGCCCTGGGTGGCCCGGGCCCCCCCTTTTGTGGGAAAAATTTGGTTGATTATATAGGGAATCACTGAAGCATGACTGGAGCCCCCCCCCCCCCCCCCTTTAGGTTAGTCAGCGGGCCCCCCCCCCCCCCTTATGAAAAGTTCTGGATCCACCACTGCAGAGTCAGACTTTTCCCACCATTTTTTAAAAATCAAATATCTCAAAAAGGAGTTCCATAACTTCTCAATATTTTTAGCTTATTGTGTTCCTTAACTAATGCTCTTCTAATATAAAGTATCAATTTTAAATTCCAGATATTTTTAATTTCACCTGACTACATCCTTAAGCCTCTAGTTAAATAGCCTTTTGTGATTGTTCATCAAATATTACATTAACTATATAAAATGATCAGTGTCTTGTTAAGCGTCCCCAAATATCTCATTTTAATACTAATGGACCAAATTCACTGAACCATTAAGTATTGAGACAGTTATCTACCCACTTCTGATTCATTTCTACTGATAACAAAGGGAAGTGCAAAAGGCTTATAATGATTTTAATGATCAGTATTTTAAGTGAAAATCTTTTGACATGAATTTCACAGTTTAATTTGTAATATAAAGGATTAAAGGTAAACAGATGATGTGATTTATGACACATTTATATCCACGAGGTCTATCAAATGTAAACCTGAATATTAATACATGTTCAAATTTCTTTTTAGATCAAAGGTTTATGTGCCTTAACGGTAAAATTAGGACAGAAAAAGATACTCAATTTCTCTGCAAGATTTTAAGGTAAGTTATATAACAGTACACTTTTGTGTATTACAGTGACTGGGATACTGGAGACAAATTTTCAATCACAGTATTTTTTTATTTTTTTTATCGTCTATTTTTGCCAATTCATCATGTAATATATGCCTTTTATCAATGTATGGTATAGTATCCACTTCTGTTTACTGATAAAGAGAGGCGGAAGATACCAAAAGAGAGGCGGAAGATACCAAAATGGACATCGCCATGGCAAAAAAAATAGACCAAAAGACAAACAACAATATACAAAACACAATATAGAAAACTAAAGACTGAGCAACATGAACCCCACCAAAAACCTGTGATAGGCTTTACAATCCAAATCAGTAAACTGCATGTACATTGATGATAAATATATTAATCTTGGTGTGTTATTTGGCTCAAAATAGATGATTAAACAGTAAACCAGCCCCTATGTATGACCTTTGGTTTTTGGTTTCCTATCAGGGTTTTCCATATTGTTTGCTAACCTGTTGGTGGTTATGGCTGCATGAGACTAAAAATATCAATGAAATTGTAATATTTTCCACGCATATATAAATTTGTCAAATTTTGATTATTAAGAAAAATACTAAAATATATGAAATTATTTTGTTAATAAAAAATGTATTCATGTAGACTAGCTGACAAATGCTTACATTTTTTCAATTAATTCTGGCAATAATCATGTGTTTATAGTTTTTACTGTAACATAAAGTTTTATAGAATCTCAATGTGATTGGATTTTATTTTTAAAACATCCTAACATTCATAAGGACCAAGGTCAAGTTAATTCTTATATGATTGGATGAAGCTGATCTTTGAAAGGGAAACCAAGGAAATATCCTTAAACTTCATTAAACTTTACAAAAATAATAAGACCAAAATGTATGTCCTGGTTCTTTTATCTCTGGTGGATAGTTGCAACCTTACCATATGAACTTATTTATTTATGTTTTCCAGCAAACCTAAAGTGAGGATTTTACTTACATTTTTGTTTATCTTAAATCACTTGATAAACTCTTAAGCTAGTTAAAAAAATGTGTCAATTGGACAAGTAGAATTATGCATAGTCATTTCCCAATTTTGGACAATAGACTATTTATTTATTTACTATACACACACTTTTATGTACGGAAGTCTGTTTATTATTTATAATTTATTTGTGGAGGTGTATGCATGTTATTTTAATCATTAAAACACCACATGTCACAGATAGTTATTCGTGATGTAATAGTTACAAGTTTTAAGGTGACAAATTACATCTGTGTATTGCACAAAATAAAAAAAAATCTTTCTTGTGTGTTCATTTTACAGAAATCTTGTCAAGAAGTTTTGATTGATGGATTTAAACTGAAAAATAGTTGTGCATTGTGGTTGACGTTTTCCATTGTGCAGGAAGAACAGTAAAGGAAATTTTGAATTTTTCAGGTAATATTTAAAGTTTTTAGGTACATGTATTTTTGTGTTATTTATTAGATATATAGGATGCACAATAAATGAGATGACTGGTATTAATTTGAAAGAATTTACAGTTTTGATATTTGAAATTTTATGATATTATTATTACCTAACAAGCAGTTCTATCTTTTATGGCGGGTGACAAGTTGAAAAGTATAATAATAAGTTAAGTATTTGAAATTTTATATATGTATAATATTACCTACTAACAAACCTTTTTTGATCTTTTAATTAAATTGCTCAGCCTTTCAATAAAATGATGATCTGTGAGAGACAAAACTTTTAAAATATTGACATTAAACTTTTAAATCCAAAAATAAAATGTTTTTTTTTTATAACAAACTGGAGAAAGAGTGGTTCTAGATAGTAAAAAGTCTTTATTTTCCATGATCAATTATTATAAGTGTAATGAGGTAACACCTTATAGGAGAAACAATACATGTATTTAGTATATACAACAACAAAAAAAAGGGGGGGGGGGGGGATAGTTGTTGTCATTCACTAAGCGCATGTGGACAGTACAACTGACCACACCAACCACCAAGGCCATAGAAAAGAATATGTTTGTTTGCCCTAACCCTACCTACCCACAAAATAACTGCCTACTCAAAATCTTTTATTGTCCTGATGTGAAAAAGTTTTTTTTAATCGGATAGGCATGAAGACTAAAAAACATCTGACACTTCAATTTCTCCTTTGACGAAAAAAAAAGAAACTGCCTACATACCTACCCACGATCTCTACCTTTGTGAAGGGTTTGGGCAAACCAAAATATATTTTTAAGTGTGGCCCAACAACAAACTAATTTGAGAAATTAGATAAAGACAAAAAACAACAAGTATGTTGTAAGCTCATATTCCTACTTAAGAAAACTAAAAAAGTTAATAGCTTTCATGATGAGTTGTCATTAAATCTAATTGACATGCAGGGGTTAAAATTTTTTGTTACAGCTCACTAGCCCAGGACTTATTGGTAGCAGGATTTTACTAGCCCTGTTGAAAGAGTTGCTAGCCCATCAAAACTGACCTGCTAGCCCGAGTATACCTTACAAATTCAGAGTGGGTGTCCCTTGTTTTGAATGCGGCATTATACACAGTATTTGATAAAATAAATCAAATAAATTTATTAATTATAACAAGGATCTCTAGACATCTTTTTGGATATCCCTTGTACTATGGGTTGTTAAATATTTTCGGGCACAGAAAACATGTTCATTGATCTTGTCATGTTAAACCAGTGGTTCAATTCGTATATTTGTTGTTCCCACTTACAAAGTAGACGTTATTAGCGTGATCAGGAAAATAACGGCAATATTCACAAAACATCATCTCTTGTTTATCATCAGTAACAGTCGACCTTGCCCATGGGGAATCTTTCTGTCCATGACACTATAAATGTTTTTTTCCGCTTTTCCTGGTCGTATTTGGCATTTTTTGGGATAAATTTTCAGCCTCATTACCCCCTTCATCTACCGTTTTTCGTTTTGAAACTGACAAAGTTCCTGTGGTGGCCGTACTAAAATGTTTAGAAATAATTTGTGCATGGTTTCAAGCTCAAATTAACAGCTGTCCGACAAGACAGGTCAATATCGATCATTACATCATACACCCAAGTACCATTAATTGAAAATCTCGGCATAAGCAATGTACAATACCCCCTGTACTGAGAAATTGATATTGAAAGTACGTGAATTGCGATCAATACATGATACCGGTCCACCCAGAGTTAGTTGTTCTATTTTTAAAACATGTACAAAATCGGTTCAAATTCTTGGAATCCGGGATGACGTAATTGAATCTGATTGTCTAAGATAGAATAGTGATGAGGGGATTTTCCACTTACTATTTTGGAAATGCCAAGATTTTTTTGTTACTAGTCCGCCGGGCATATTCGGTTACAAGTTTTAATTGCACGAGGTGTAAAAGTCTAGTCCCTGGAGTCGGGCTAGTGGATTTTTTAACCCCTGACATGGCAGTAAGTTCATGTATTATGGCAGGTATAAACCCCTTACTTTTTGTATTAATAAAACAGTTTATAATCAAATTGAAGCAGACTGTGACATTAACTTTGTTTAATGTCAGTGCATTTCAATGTTTTATTACTGATCTGTAAACATAATGTATGTTCAGGATCTCAAACATAATCATAAATAAATACAAAATAATAAACAAATAAGAAGTAATGAAAAGAAATAAGATTACAGTCAAACTCACAATAAAGGTCACATGGATGAAGTGAAAACCTGTCTTGTTAACATCTTTTTGTCCAACTGTAGTAAAACCTATGCATTTCGAACCTTAATTTAAAGGTCATCCAGTTTCCTCTAGTCCTGAGGGTGACCTTTACATACAGGTTTGACTGTACTTGATTGGGCATAGCTTATGATCAAGTACATGTACATTTTTGGATAGACCGCGGCTTCAAATCTCTTTCTTGCTGATTTCCTCTATATCCACAAATAATCATTTTTACAAACTGATACGTTTACTGAAAAATACAATTGGTCTCTGGTGGAGACTTGTCTCGTTGGCAATCATACCACATCTTCTTATTTTATTAAATAGTTAGTGACTGATTGTCCTTGGACAGTCATTGCCCTTGGATAGCACTTAGGAGTTAGAGCAAAGACTTGGTTGGCTCAAATTCAGAATAACATATCCTGGTAGGATGTTTTCCTGTGGACTGTTACCTTGTGAACTAGCACAATGAAAATCCAGCTCAGCATATGTCGGCCTAGTACAAAGCTTGTTTATATTCATATCATATTATCATGTTTTCGTACTGAATATGCATTTAATTTGCCACTGGACGTTAAACATCCATTTATCCATCCATTGCCCTGGAACTTATATAATAACATTTTATTCTGTTCCTATGCAGGTGTCAATAGAATGACAAACACTGACTTATAGTAGTAAAATTGATAAAGGGGTTGTCAAGGAAAAATGATAAGAATGGACATGTATCAAAAATGTCACAATATTTATGATGTAAACAATTTTGTAATTCAGTTAAAAATGACAATTGGGACTTTCCTTTCACAATCCTCAGATACGAAATATATATTTTGTAACAAACACATTGAGTGTCAAAAAGTAATAAAAGTTAATTAATTAGACACTAATAGTAATGTACATAACATGTCACAATAAATGTAAAATGTCATTATATGATAAAAGCAACTTAATTATACATTGTAATGATAGTGCTGATATCTCACTGGGAAGTGATGGTGCTTTGTAATCATTGTTTGTTTGGTATTTAGTGATATTGTCAATGATATCATTGCTCCTATTGATTGGCTCCTGGGAATGGATTAATTGAACAATAAATTTGTTCGGATTGGGTTGTCATTATTAATTACAATTGAAGCTGGGATGGATATTGTCAAATGATGTGGAATGATTGAAAGCAGACAAGTCATAATGATTAGAAAAAAATATGACTTAAAAGGCATGACTTTTAGCTGTGCTTTTGGTTACTTAGCAAACTTATATATGGCCAAATGGAGAAATAATCATTATTATGGTATGAACATTTTGTGAAACTCCAGACCCAAAAGTAACTGGCAACTGGCACAGAAATTTTATTGTTTTACAATATGAAAAAAGCTAGTTCATTTGTTGTAAGGCTTGGCTCACAAACATGTTTTAAACCATCCCACAGAAATTTGATTGCTATATATATTGGATAGTTGGTCTCTCAATTTTTCTACATTTGTTAGAAGAATGGAAAATTTTTGATATTAATCCTGAATTCAAAGTTTTGACCAACAACAACTGTTTTGAAGTTGATACAGTAAAATGTTTTGGTGGCAAGAAATAAAGCACAATATATGATGGCTTTGATGTGATGAATTTGATGGCAAATTTAAACTTTGCATATATAACGATAGTTGCATACTCATATCTAGATTTATAAAAAGGGAGAGATGGTCAACTCCTAGACCTAGAGATTTTTTTTTATATAAAAACAAATCATAATTAAAAAAGGGGGTCTAACCTTTCATCCCTCCCTTTAATATTCCAATATCATGTTTTTTGTTTTTTTTTTTTATTTACAGAAAAAACAAGGTGTATAAAAATAAGAAGATGTGGTATGATTGCCAATGAGACAACTCTCCACCAGAGACCAAATGACATAGAAGTTCACAATTATAGATCAATGTGCAGCCTTCAACAATGAGCAAAACCCATACCGCATAGTTGCAAATGAGACAATTCTCCAGGTGTGTTTTCTAATTTTCTTGTAACTGGTTAATTCTGCTGATATTGTATCAAGAGCTATGACCTATTGGTTATGAAGTCAATATGACAAGTCAGAGGTAAAAAGACTAGATACATTGTAAGAGAGTTCATGTGATATTACGTGTTTTCATCTGCATTCTTCCTGAGCATTTTGGTTTCAACATCTGTATTTTTATAGAAAACTAAGTTCTTGTTTAAATAAGTCATCGAAAAAACTGACAATGCCTGAAAAAAATCGTTCAAAAGACATGAAGCCAGGGGTAAATTCAATTGCTCCGGAGGGTAAACAGTTCCTGTTATCTATGAGTTATCTAGTGTATAAAGGACAATCAATCATTATTGAGTCTAGAATAGGATTTTTGATTACTTGATTTACCAGTACTGTGATCATTGCTTATTTTTTATTTGACTATCTTTTTTGCAAATTAGGTGATAATTTGATGACTATAAACGCAATTTTTTGTTTATAACAATCTATGGGACTGACTTTTGATCTTTTATGTGGATGATATGAATTTTTAATCTCGGGACAGTTAATTTTTTGTCACCTTTATTAAAAAACAAACGATCATGTTCAAATTCCATGCAAGAGATGAGAAAATGTGTTGTCAGCTCACTGTTGAATTGTATTTTTTCACCCTAATTTTCAATGGAATCAAACAATTTTTTTTCCCACCTTACTAAACAAACTATTAAGCGTGGTTGTCACTATCAAAGTTAACTTAGTCAAAGTTTTCTTTGACCAAGTAAATTTGTTCCAAGTTATCAGTTGTCACTATCAAAGTTTTTCATATAACACTTAGTCAAAGAAAAAGATGCATTGTGATTGGATAATTCCCAAGTCCATTCTATTTTTCTTGAAACTAGGATAGACTTAGGAATTTTGAGATTCTATTCCATCCAAGTCAGTCAGAGTATTTGATCAAAGCTTTCATTGATGGTTGTCAATATAAAAAAATCCATCAAAAACTTTGATAGTGGGAACAGGTCTTTATGTTCCTATTATTTATTTCTTAAAAAAAAAAAATACAATTTAACAACTTACATTGAAAAACATTTTATTTACTATAAAGATTGCAAACAAATTTATTCCATTGTCAAAAACTAAAATGATATTTATGATTAATTACTTGAACAGCCCTAAGAACAAGTATCAGTGTGCCTGCCGTATCTTTAATCAACTCTGACAGTAGCAAGGTCATGGTCAATCTGAACCAACTGCCTCCTCAAGTAACCATCTGTTATCTAAGTCAATCGGATGTTTATAACAGCAATGTGTAGCTTTATCACAACAAAGCTTGTGTGTGAATGAGGATAACATCTGTTTGTATCTCATCAATGTTTACTCACCCAGATGCTTCATTCATCTTTATGACCTTTGACATTGATGATTGGGGAATTTGTTGGAGAAGCCACAAGAATTTTTATTAGGATTTAATTTTTTGCTTATGAAGTTGGAATGTTATAGATGATACTTTTTCTTGTCAGGTTTGTTAAGTTTTTTCTTCAGATAATTAAGCATTTAAAAAAAAAAAAAAAAAAATGTTTAATGCATTTAATTATAATGGAAATTAAGCTTTAAAATGATGTTGTATACTGAATGTTTTGGTAAGATGATTTGTGGATGAAGGAATGATGCCTTCAAAAGAAACCATTTTGCTTTCATATCTTTTATACCCTGTTCCAAAGGAAGGGGAGTATGCTAGTCAAACCTTTTCTGTCTGCACAGTCCTTCAATTCATCCGTCCCATGATATTTTGGGTACTATATTTTCAGGAACTACAAATCAAAGTTTCTGAAATTTGGTAGCAAGCTTCATGTGAGCATGCTATACCCAGCTGCGTATTTACATTCATTGCTTATCAGCTTATGATTACCAAATACTTAAAGCAGAGATATTATTAGTGAGCAATAGCTTACATTTCATCTACCGTATAGTATATAATAGTATATACCGGTAATACATAATTTGCTTTGAAATTTTTAATCTATTCTGAATTACTTTTATAAGAAAAAGGATAATTAGCTGGATATTGTACAATATACAAATCAAATAAATTAAAACATTGTTACAGTTGAAAGATATGTTTAAAATCAACCTCTCCCTATATCATGTATATCAAAAGAAAGCTATTTTATTGTTGTTCTTCATCTTGGGATTTGCTGACTGAAGCAATAGTTTTAAGATGTCACACATTACAGAATCCTAGCTTTTTACTGTAGTTTGTTATGTTGATTGATATATATGCTGCAATTTTTACATTTGCAAGACTTGTCAATTAATTACATAAATATTCACCATTTGAGGTCTTCCTATAAAAACTATCATTCATTGACCTTTTTCACTAACAACTGAATAATGGTAAACAAATATTATGACAGCCACAGGTCATACAAAAATATATATGAAGGCTTTGCAGTTGAAATTAGAGGTGAGATGTACTTTAAGATAAGTTAAGCATTTCAAAAAATCAAATAAGTTATGCAATTGCAAAAAATCAGAATGTACCTAATGGAATATTATGTTTTTGCACATGACTTACATTTCAGTTTTAAACATCACCAGATATTATGAAACAATGTGTTGAAAATTATGCAATATGAAAACAAATACTCGATCAGTTTCTAATTGTGACATATGTACTAATGATTAGCCAGTGCATGTAGCTGTTCTGCCAAGAAATTGTTATCTAATCCCTGCAATGGATCCTTGCCCCAGACTCAAGCTTGGCTTAGATAAAATTTACTTGCCATATATTTATAAAATGAGAAAAAAAAACATTGAGATGATGTTGCTGTGATTTAAAGATAACAAATGATGTAAGTCTTTTGGTTATTTTTTGTTGTTAGATTGCTGTCTCATTGAGGTATACACCACATCTCTGTTCATTTATGTCTTAGTTAACAACAGAAAAACTTGTACAAGAAAGTATGCTGGGTAGTATTCAGAGTTTATCATGTTTATGACCTAAAGGCATATTCACATATAATCTGAATTACGTATATGATAATAATAAATAAATATAAGTGTCAGCTGACAGTAACGTGATTTGTGTACATTATTAAGTAAATAAATTCAAATATTATCTCATAAGACTATGTTTACCTGGAAAGCTGTTAATTAATTACCATTTTACTTGTAATTATTTATATTAAACACCCTGGAGTCATGACATAAAAGATTTGTTTGTGATTTGTTTGTGATAGATGTGTTAATTTCATAGGAGGGAAAGCTTAATGTTTTTATTTGGCCTAATAAATCTGATTACAACCTTTTCATTTCCTTGACTTACAAAATAATAATTCTGCTGGCATCTTTTTAGAATAATTTACATGAAAGATTTTATGAATGTTTTTTTTTTTTAAAGTCTTTCTTTTTTACACCTCAACTTTTCAAATGTTATAAGCTTTTTCAGGTAATATTGTTGAACACCCTATTGCAGGCTTTGGAACCTAAAAGATTCAGTAGGTAACACAGATCAAATTGTCAGAATTAGCTGTGAACTGTACATGTTTGTAAAATCCATTGTATTACAATGGCAATCAAAACAGCAGACAAATATCGGATGTACACGACTAAACAAAAACAACCTTTTGATGGCAATCAAAAACACAGGTCTTATTTTATCTGCCATAGTGATAGAATGTCCAATAGTCCCTCACTGTGATTTTCTAACTCATTTTCAAAAACAATTTTCATTTGTCTCGTTTTATTTTATTTGATTTTCTAATTTCGTCTGTAAAGGAAAAGATGGAATCTTTCAGTATTGGTCTAAAAAGAGGGACGAAAGATACAAGAGGGACAGTCAAACTCATAGATCGAAAACAAACTGACAACGCCATGGCCAAAAATAAAAAGACAAACAGACAAATAATAGTACAGATGACACAACATAGAAAACTAAAGACTAAGCAACACGAATCCAACCAAAAACTGGGGGTGATCTCAGGTGCTCTGGAAGGGTAAGCAGATCCTGCTCCACATGTGGCACCCGTCGTGTTGCTTATGTTATTACAAATCCGGTAAATAGTAAAAGAAATTATTGTTAGTATTTAGTTACACCTTTATATAAGTCATGTTAGTGTTGATGCCAAATGATAGATTTCAATAATTAGGAAAGGGGTACAATTTTGGCCTTATTTTATAGTGTAAAGCATGATAATGCAAGATTTCAAATTATATTTATTAATGTTAAAAAAGAAAATATCAGAATTCTTATCAAATATAACAGTAATATTGAAACCAAACTGCAACATAAGATCTACTTCAACTGAATCATTGATGATTTCATTGAAAAACATGCCTGTACCAGCACAGTACTGATAAACAATACAAGGAAAACTGCCAAAAGTACTCCCTTTGATAAATTTCCTCACCTTTTAACAAAAATATAGATAATTTTCTTTGACCAAGCTCCAAAATGCTTTCACATTATTGTAAACAAATTGGTTATCTATATATAAACAGATAGAGTTATCAGGCACACGTCTGACAACAGGGTAATAATATCCATTCTATCATTTCAGCCTGGGTAAGAATTGATGGAGTGAGACTTATTATCTGCCACAGAAAAATTCCTCAATCAGAAGGTCAGTGATTTATCATTTTTATAATCCTCTATGAAGGTCTGGATGGGGTTTACAGATTAAAGAATAATGGGACAATACTACAGAGAAAAGGCCCCCCCTCAAAAAAAAAAAAAAAAAGAATCGAGAAAAATAGGCCAAAACAAATGGAGAATAATGGGGTGCAAAAATACTGTAAATTCAGAAATTATTGTGAGGTTTTTATTAGTGCGAATATTTCGACTGGGCAAGTATCGCAATACTAAGAACTCGCATTCTGACATCTGATGCATTATATCTGTATGCAGCTTTTCTTGAAATAGCAATAATTGATATCACATTTATGTCCATTCTTCAAAAATTGCTATAATAAATTTATGCATGCAATAGTTTCTGAATTTACAGCATAAAGAATAGATAAATGAAGAACCTCCCATCCAGACCCTTGTCTATTAATCTGAGGATGAAGATATGACTATTATTATGCTTGATAAGAAAAATATTGCTGTGATGTTTAGGTATTGATAAAAACAAAAATTATCGGATTAATGAGAGATTTTGGATAAATGTCATTGAGACATCAACCTAACAATACAGTACACAAGTTTACCATGATAGAAAATTTAGAGGACACCAGGTTAAATTCTTCAGCTATGGGCATGATGGGGGAGCTGTGACCAACACTCGATATTTTTAAGCACCCCGAACCTAGATGAATAATGAATGAATTGAAGAGAGTCCACCTTAGAGAAATAACATATGAAATTCTGAATAGACTAATATGTGATTCCTGACTGGCACATGGTTGCTATCTCATGCACATATTTTAAGATATTTCACCATTGAAAAACATAATATGTTTTCTATACTTTTGTAGCATCACAACAGAAAACTTTTGATGCTGAGATTGATATACCATCTCAATTAGGTCAATTTATTCGAAGTCAAAGTCAGTCTAAGTTACTTTGAACTGAAGCTTCAAATTTTAGCTTCTCTGCCTCTTAAATATAATTTTGATTGTATATGAATCACAAAGATACCTAATCCAGCCATTGAGAATGTCAGAAATTTAAAAATCTAACTGTAAATGATAATCTTGCACTTATAAATTGATGATTCATAAAAAAGATAAGAAAAGTTATGTTTTTTGAGAAGAACTTGACAGGTGCCCTAACAGCTGGATCTGTGTCATAGTTGGCTGTGATAACATACTATATAGAATGCTGTCTGCAAAATACTTCAGCAGTCTTTAAAAGGAAATATTGCTTTTAGTTTTCTCTTTGACAAGATTTTTAAAAAGTTTTCTTACACAAGTTTTATTGTTGAACATGATATTTCATTTAAATTTGAATTACATCACTTCAGATATATATTATATATTTTCAGTAACAGTCAGTCATATCAACAGGATATAACCTTCTATATTTACCAATCTTATCTGTCTAGATTGTATTCGAAAATTCTTCACAAGCCCAGAATCAGACAGCGGCCCACCTGAAGTAAATTTACAGCCAATTTTGTGTCAAGATAAGGTCCTTTAATTTTTAATTGTGAGGAACGCAGCGTGAGTGCCTCCCTCTCCCCCTACCGAATTCTGGATCTGCCCTTGTTTCAGGGTTCTATTTGACCATTCCTAATTATTGTAAATCTCAGAAAAGGTTAACATGCAAATGACTTTCTAAGTGACTGACTGGTAGAACTATTATCATTGGAGGGTGTTGACTAAGCTGTCAATATATAACTTAAGTTTTTATTTTATCTCCACCAGATGTTTATTCAAAATATTGATTGTTTTTTCATCTGTCTATATCCTATCAATCCAACTAACTTGTCTCTCTATAAATATATACAGGATATTGTGAAGAGATGATAAAAGTTTTAGTTTAACTTTTGATAGTAGTCACATACAGTGGCAGATCCAGGAGGAGTTCGAAGGGTTAGAAACCCCCCCCCCCCCCCCTTTTTTTTGATGATTAATGCTTTTGAATGGGAACATATGGTTGGAACCCCCCTTTTAAAAATGACTGGATCCACCCCTGATATATAAATATATACAATTTAAAAAACTTGTGAATTAAGATGTTTGATATTACAGAAATTATGTATGGATTTCTAACGGGTGATACTGGCTGTCATATCCAACCCTTTAAAATCCCACTCAGATATTATAAACTAAATGAAAAGATACAATTTTTTTCTCAACATTTTACTTAGACAGTAGATGTCCCACCATTTCAAAACTAAATGGTGTAGATCTGGCCTCGCAGTCATTAAACTTTCCAGCACAATTATCATACTCAGACTCAGAAATTAACCAATAAAAATACTGGATTTGGAGCACACATTTTGTTCCCCGAGTACTGAGTAAAGTTTTAAGACCGTGAGCCCTGGAATTAATGAAATATTCAGTCTAAAAGTGTTTCAGGAAGTTGTCTTTTCGTTGAAATTTCTCTGATAGAGATAAACAGTTAGTATTCAACTCAACGAGTTTTTAATTTGTCTTTGCATATACCAGCTAGATTTTTTTTTTCAAAATAATTTCTTATGATTCATCTGTCTAGGAAAGTTTATTGTGTAGAACAGCGAACTGGTTTTTTTTTTTTAAATTTTTGCATGTTATTAATTCTTTTGTGGTGACAGCAATCCAAATTAAAGAAAGATACAAATTTGTAAAAAAAAAATGTCTAATAAAAGTACAACTCCTGTATCATATTGTTTAGAATCCTTCCTTTAAAACAAATGAAAAAAGTTGCAATTTCATACAAATTTGGAGAGAAAAAAATTATGTCAAAAGTACAACTGATATTGTTCAAAATCCTTCCTTAAGAAAAAATGAATTGTTCAAAGACTTAAAATCCAAATTGATCTAGGGTTATATCTTCATCTAACCTTTATTTTCTATTTTCATAACAACTGCAAGAAGTTTAAATATCAAAGAAAATGTAATTGAAACTTTTATCTACTTGATATACCCATTAAAATTGTCAATAGACAGCGGGTAAACAATGTTATTATGTAATCTGTATTTAACATGTTTAAGTACTGTAAATACATGTAGATAAGTGTTTATTTATCACAGCTGGGTGTACACATTACATGTATAACAGTCTTGTCTGTATCTTCAGGCTGTTAATTGATAGATTTATGTGCTCAAACATTTTGTTAAATCTGTTGTTCAGTTTCAACTTCAGGTTTTGAGATGAGGGATATATATAATGTTGAGGGGATTTTAATTTCAAAACAGTGAGGTAATTTTTAATTCTTTTTTGTTTAATTTTTTTAGGATTTGGTTTGTACTCATAAGATTTTTTAAAGCCTCATCTAAGATATTATTTTATAAATAAACAGTTTTAACATGTTTGGCTTAAATTTAATAATAAATTTCTTTAAACCTTTGCCTGCGGTTTTACTTCAAATAACTTCAAGATATTTTTAAAAATGCATAAAATGTGACAGGATGACCAATGCAATTAAAACTCTTATTTTAATTTTAAGTACATATTGTTGCTTATTGTTCTTTTGAAAATCTGAAAAAATGGGCTTGAATGTTTATTAAAGTAATAAAAACTCATATTTTAATTTTTTGCAAGTACAAATTTTCAACTACAAAAAATACTCGGCAGCAACTATTGGGGAAAAGTGTGTTTGGGGGAGGGTGTCAAAAATCTGAAAAAAACTTTTAAAAATCTCAAATTTTTAGCTTTACAAGTAAATGTACAATTCTCTTCACTCTGGCAATTTAGAGCTTATTACATGGTTGGAACCATTGTTAATAACATTTACTACAATAACCTTGAAGACTTGATCGTTTTGTTTTAATAGTGTTGTTTGCTTGCTGTCTAATTGACCTTTACCCCTCATCTCAATTGTCCCAGATTTATTACCAAAGTAAATCTTCTTTAATCACACAATTCCTCCCTGAAAAATATGTAGGTGAGCAGAAAATCTTAAAATGACTCTTGAAGTAGATTTAGTCATCCTCTGGTTAATATTAAATTGGTAGTTTGACATACATATGTATAAAATCTGTATAATTAATTATCTGAATTCTGTAGCTGTTATTTATAATAATCTGTATATAATGGGTCAACCAGAGGCTATAAGTACACTTCATTGGTTAGATGGGTGAACTTTTGATGACTGTTTTTGTGGCCATGTATATTAATGATAATGCCTATAGTAAACTAGACTTATAATTGCTAAGAGCTGTTCCATGAAAAACATGCATGGGTCCTAGGGAAGACCCTTCTAAATCTCAACTTTGATTGGGTTTTAAAAACTATTTAGTACAGTGAAAATGTAAGATTGCCTCTAAAGATGGTTCCCCTATTTTCTTAGTGACTTCCCTTGGAACCAATTATTTTAAGGAACAATCTTAAAGTAAATAATTTTGACTCCAAAATCTATGAGAAATTGTTAATATATAAATAAAAGGAGATTTGGAGATAACAACCTTGCAACATAGTAGGGAAAAAATACAGATGGTTTTGTTTAAAAAAAGCTAAATCTTTGATATATTAGAAGTTAGTTAGTCTTTTGAATAATATTTTCAGGCAAGCTGGCATATGGCCTTTAACAAGATGTTCCAGCCAGCCATTATTTGAATGTTTATCGTACATCAAATAATTTAAAACATAAATTAAGCTGTTTTCCCCTATTTTAACGCATAATTTATCGCCCAAAAGGATAGTAATTAGTTATAAAACAAAATAGTCTGAACAGCCCAACCTTGAATTGATTGTCTTCAGTATGCACAATTGAGTATGTGACTCTATTTATGTCTGAGAGCTCTAGCAGACGGACATGTATTTCCATAATGACTTATGACTATACAGTGAGTGCGGTTGAGTGTTTAAGGGATGGGTTGTGATTTAAAATCAATTGTTACAAGAGGGTGAGAAAGTCAAACAATGGTCAGCTTGACCAAATAACATACTGAAATGATTCATTTATAGGATCTGTTATCTTGAATGGACATTTTGTATTATCTGACCATTAAGATAAAAAAAAAGAAAATTGTGTATCCTAATCATCATGCTAAAAGCAATACAACAGAAAATTTGTTAAGCTATTACAATCTAGTATAGTTGCTTGAGATAAACATTCTTTGAAAACTGAGTAGCAGATAGTCTCATTCTTGACAA